TAGTTCTGGCACAGCTGTTCTTGAAAAAGAGTCATTTCTGTCAGAGCTCTGTCAGCCCCACCTACCTCACAGGGTGTCTGTTGTGGGGAAGGGAAAGGAGTTTGTAAGCCACTCTGAGACTCCGAGTGAAGGGTGGGGCATAAATCCAATCATCATCATCTCCTCCTCCTCCTCCTCCTCCTCAGACTAGTATCTGGGAAACCCAGGTTCGAATCCCCACTCGTGCCATGGAAACTCGCTGGGTGGCCTCGGGCTAGTTATACACTTTCAGCCTAACCTGCCTCCCAGGGTTGTTGAGAGGATAAAACAGGAGAGATGGGAAATGGAGTACATAAGAACATAAGAACATAAGAGACGCCAATGTTGGATCAGGCCAAAGGCCCATCCAGTCCAACACTCTGTGTCACACAGTGGCCAGAAATACCAGTGCCATCAGGAGGTCCAGCAGTGGGGCCAGGACATTAGAAGCCCTCCCACTGTTGACCCCCCCCAAGCACCAAGAAGACAGAGCATCACTTGCCCCAGAGCCCCTAGCTATACCTTGTGGCTAATAGCCACTGATGGACCTCTGCTCCATATGCTTATCTAATTCCCTTTTGAAGCCATCCATGCTTGTAGCACCCACCACTTCCTGTGGCAGTGAATTCCAAGTGTTAATCACTCTTTGGGTGAAGAAGGACGTCCTGTCTCACCATTGATTTATATAGGGGCATTATTATATTGGCTGATCTGTTTTCAATACCCTTCCTAATAATCCCCAGCATAGCATTGGCCTTCTTTATTGCAGTCACACACTGTCTCGACATTTTCAGTGAGTTATCTACTACAACTCCAAGATCTCTCTCTTGATCTGTCTCTGCCAGTTCAGACCCCATCAATGTGTATTTATATTTAGGATTTTTGGCTCCAATGTGCATCACCTTGCACTTGGCCACATTGAACCCCATTTGCCATGTTGACGCCCACTCGCCCATCCTTGACAGATCCCCTTGGAGTGCCTCACAATCCTCACTGGTTTTCACCACCTTGAACAACTTTGTATCATCCGCAAATTTAGCCACTTCACTGCTTACTCCCATCTCCAAATCATTAATGAACAAGTTAAAAAGCAGTGGACCAAGTACTGATCCCTGTGGTACCCCACTGCTTACCCCCCTCCACTGGGAGAACTGCCCATTTATACTCACTCTCTGTTTTCTATTAATTAGCCAGTTTTTGATCCATAAAAGGACTTGTCCTTTTATCCCATGATTTTTGAGCTTGCTTAGGAGCCTTTGATGAGGAACTTTATCAAAAGCTTTCTGGAAGTCAAGGTAAATAATATCTATTGGATCCCCCTTGTCCACATGTTTGTTCACCCCCTCAAAGAACACTAACAGGTTAGTGAGACAAGATCTTCCCTTACAGAAACCGTGCTGAGTCTGCCTCAATAGGTTTTGTTCATCTATGTGCCTACTAATTCTTTCCTTAATAATGGTTTCCACCAATTTACCCGGTATCGACGTCAGACTGACTGGCCTGTAAGCTTTGGGTCCCCATTGGGGAGGAAGGCGGGGCACAAATAAAGTTAAGTAAGTAAGTAAATAAATTCCACTTGTCTCTACAGTGCCACCTGACTCCTGGTAGATTTTTTTTAGAGCCAGTGAGAGCCAGTTTGGGGTAGCGGTTAGGGACGCAGGCTCTAATCTGGGAGAACCGGGTTTGATTCTCCACGCCTCCACATGCAGCTGCTGGTGTGACCTTGCGTCAGTCACAAGTTCTCTCAGAGCTGTTCTCTCAGGAGCAGTTCTCGAAAGAGCTCTCTCAGCCCCACCCAGCTCACAGGGTGTCTGTTGTGAGGAAGGGAAAGGAGACTGTAAGTCGCTCTGAGACTCCCAAGTGAAAGGCGGGGTATAAATCCAATCTCTTCTTCTTTATATACCACATCCGTCTTTGCTCCCTCACACATCCACCAGGTTGTGCCAATCAAAACCAAAGCACCAGCTGTAGTTCTCCCAAGCCATGCCTGACCCATCTGCCCTCTCCAGTGCCCCTGCCCTGGGCCTTGTCCCCCCCCCCACCCCCCACAGGGAAGCTGCCCCCAACTCACCCACACCTCCAACCCACCCGACAGACAACTCAGTCAGCTCTCGCAGCTGGTTACCTTTGGTAGCTCCTGCGGCCCCCAAGTGGTAAATCGCCCCCAGGACAAGCCAGATGGCCTTCTGCTCCTCGCCAGAAACACCCATCACTTTCATGGCCGCCTGCAGCTTGCTGAACTGCTGGGCCGCCTTCTGCTTCTCCTCCGGCTGCAGCCAAAAGGAAATGACGAAACGGAACCGAATCACTTGGACAGGCCTCTGCTTCTTTGGCTCTGAGCAGAGAGGGGGCTAGAGGGCTTATTGCCCAGGTACGGAGGCAACATCAGGTCAGGCTCCCTCCCACTGCCCGATCCACGGCTTCGGCACTCGCTGGCCAAGACCCCAGGCCTTTGCCTGGTCTGCCGCTGGAAGAGAACACCCCCACCCCCAGGCTGGTTACCTTTGACAAAGGCACAATCCCAAAGATGTTGTTTTCGGCCAAGTGGTTGAAATGAAGCTCCGTCCTGGGGGCAAAGGGGAAACGGAAGGGAGTGTGAGCAGGAGACCGGGAGAGAAAGGCACGGTGCCTCCTAAACTGCTGGGGAGACAACCCTCGGAGGCCGGCGGGCCACGGAAGCCCGGCTCTTTGCACTCACACGTTCCCCGTGAGCACCCCGCCACAGATTCCAGGGCTCACGTTCAAAGCCCGACCTTGAGCTCACGAGGCTGAGCTGCGGGGCTCGCCTCCGACCGGCCGGGGATTCTCAAGACCGGCGTGCCGCTTTGGTGATGGGGAAGCTGTGGGTGCACAAGTCGGCGGGGTCTTGAAGACACCCCCCTCCCTTTTCTAGGACCCCTGTCCATACCCACACGCAGGCCCCGAAACACTGAGGGCAAGGCCGGGAGCATTAGCTCCGACAAGGAGGCACACATCGGTCCGGGTGTGGAAGGGAGCAGCGTCCTTACCGGAGGGCGTTGTCCTGGCAGGCCAGCAGGTAGTAGAAGACGTTGAACGTGGCCTCGTTGGCGGGACGCCTGGCGACCCGGAGTTTCTCCAGCAGCATCGTCTGAAGGAGGCAAGGAAGGGGGGAAGTGGCTGGGCCGAAGGATGTCCATCTCGGCAGCCCAACTCGCCTGCCTACCGCGCAGCCGTCCTCCGGGGCTGCCAGGGTGGAACCCTGATGCTCGGCCGAGCGCGCGGCCACGGCTTACTCACTCCCTTCCCCGTGCCGCAGTACCACATGGCCACCGACGCTCACGTCCTGGGGAACAATCGCTAACTGGGACGTTGACAGCTGCTCCTTTCCACGGAGCCTGCACGCTTGAGACTCCCGCGAGGCGGCCCGTCAATGTGGCTCCCGTTTAGGAGGCTAAGAAAGTGTGACGGGGCAGGATGTGTTGTGAAAAGATAAAGCGTTGCGGCAACACGGGCTGTCGCAATGCTAACATGGGCACTTTGGCTGAAGGGAAACAGGGAGCGTGACGCGAGCGGCCTCTCGGGAGTCCGTCCCTGGGCAGTTCAGGGCACGACCGGCAACTCCCAGGGGCTTCCCCCACTGCCACTGGATGCAGCCTCCAAACAGGAATGCCTGATGTGTAGCAGGAGATGCTCTCGGAGTCACTGGTGGCAGTGGGAGCTGTTTCTAACGCCCCTAGGAAGGGAGGGGAAAGGGTGGCAGCACCAAGCAGAGACTTGGGACAGCTGCCGGGGGGGGGGGTCCCAAACAATGTTCCCTCTAAGCTGTGGAGTCTGATGAGCAAAAATTCTACTTTGTGAGCTACTGGCGTTAAAGCTGTGAGCGAGCGATTTCGCTACTGCATAAATCAGTTTGCTCTGGAGCCCTCCTTCCTGAGCTGAGACCAAAATGTGTGCGCCGGAGGCTAAAAAACTGTGAGCTAGCTCACACTAACTCAGCTTAGAGGGAACACTGGTCCCAACCTCCAGGAGGCCAACCAGGAGGAACAGCAGGGGCTTCGGAGTCCGTTCCTTCACAGCAGGCGTAAGCAACCCACAGACCATTTAGTGAAGCCCACAGGCGTAGATGGATTTAAAAGAGGATGTGATGGATTCATGGCGGACAGGTCTATCACTGGCTATGAGCCATGGGGATTAAAGGGAACCTCCACGTTCGGAGGCAGTCGGCCTCTGAGTCTGAATCCCAAGACCGGGAGGCAATGTCAGGGGAAGGCCTCAGCCTCCGTGCCCTGTTGAAGGCTCTTCAGAAGAACTGGTTGGCTACTATGCAAGACAGGATGCTGGACTAGGTGGACCACAGGTCCGATCCAGCAGGGCTCTACTTATATCCTTATGACCTTCGCAGCTTCTGCAGGTGAGAGATGGACAGAGAAAGGATCAGTCTCCTGTGACTCTGTATCCAATGCTGAGGGTCTCTGCTACGGCTCCAGGCCCACTCCAACCCTTCCTTTCCCCCCTTTACATCTGCGGGCTCCGCCCGGGGCTCACAAGCTGAAAACGGAGCATTGCTGTTGGGGAACAGAAGCTGGCGCCTCCCTGCCCCCCCCTCACCTGCACGGAGGCAGAGGCCACCTGGCCAGCCTGGTCAAAGTCCAGCGAGATGATCTGTGAGAAGCGAGTGGCGTTGCCGTTCAAGCTGGTGCCGCTGTTGCCCAAGGCGTCCAGGATGGTGTAGAGAGCCTGCCACTTCTCCACTGCCAAGGCACAAGCAAGGGAAAGCATGCAAGGACGGGACGGGCAGCACGCACGCACAGGGGGAATGTGTGTGCCCCTCTCCCAATGCAGGGCACCTCCCCACACACCCAGCCTCGTGGCATCACGACATGCAAAATTCACAACTCCAAGGAGCGGCCCGCCAGTGAGCTCAATGGCTGGAGAGTGGATACCGCTGTGAATAAGGTGTGGATGGGTCAAGCCAGGCTGAGGACAGACCCTGATCAGCCCGGCGGTTGAGAAGGCAGGATCCCGGCTGCAGAGATGGATCAGGAAGGGTGCAGTGGCAGGACGTGGCAACCAAAGCAACAGAACAGAAAGCTGTAGAAAAGCGCTACTCATTCCAAGAGAAACAATATAATTATAACAATTATTGTAGCATTCATGTCATTACAAATAAAAAGCAAAAGAGGTCCATAATATAATCATGATGGTTGTTGGCGAAGTTTTCCAGAGTAGTTATTCGTTTCGTGAAGACGTCATCCGAACGAGGACCATAAATTCCAAAAGTGTGTCTTCTGTCTTTTATCCAGCCTTTAGCATTTTCTACTTTGCCCTTCGGAGCTTATCACTTATAGAACTATGAGGGACAATTCTGGAAGAAAAGGTTATTTCTTAGAATTGAATTCATTGCTGGATAAACGACAGAAGACACACTTTTGGAATTCATGGTCCTCGTTCGGATGACGTCTTCACGAAACGAATAACGACTCCGGAAAAGTTCGCCAACAACCATCACGATTATATTATGGACCTCTTTTGCACTTTATTTGTAATGACATGAATGCGACAATAATTGCTATAATTATATTGTTCCTCTTGGAATGAGTAGCGCTTTTCTACAGCTTTCCGTTCTGTTGCTTTGGTCATTTGAAGCTGTGACTTCTGTGGTTTAGAATGTGGCAACCGGAAGGGGCCTTTCCGCTCCGGAAGGAGGCAGAGGCACAGCTGGACACAACCCACCTGAGAAGACCTTCCCGGAGCTGCCGGCCACCGTGGCCAAGTACTGCACCAGGTGCTGGCAGTTGGTGCTCTTCCCGCTGCCGCTGCTGCCCAAGAGGACGATGGACTGGTCCTGGCGGCTCATCAGCATGTTGCGATAGGCGGCCTGGGCCACGGCGTAAATGTGGGGGGAGGCGTCTTCTCTGCGGCATCCCTTGAACATGTGCATCACCTGGAGCGAAGGAGCTGCGTTAGTGAGGTGCAGGTGGGGGTCCACAAGGGGAGCGGGAGAGTGCTTGGTCTTGTGTGTTTTGCGCTATGGGCTGTCAAAACGCTTCTGACTTATGGTGACCCTATGAAATGACTAAACTGAGGCTAGCATGTTTTGGTCGCCCGATGAGAAGCCAGGAGTCACTGGATGGAACAAGAATGCTGGGGAAAGTGGAAGGCAGCAGGAAAAGAGATGGATTGATTGGACATGAGACGGATTGACTCGATCAAGAAAGCGATGGTCTTCAGCTTGCAAGACCCCGAGCAAGGCTGACAATGATAGGACGTTTTGGAGGTCATTAATTGGGGGGGGGGGGTGAACTGTTGCCAAGTCACTTATGACAATCCTACGAATGAATGACAAGGAGGAGGAGAAGATTGGATTTATACCCCACCCTTCACTCAGAGTCTCAGAGCAGCTTACAAACTCCTTTCCCTTCCCCTCCCCACAGCAGACACCCTGTGAAGTAGGTGGGGCTGAGAGAGCTCTTTTCCAGAACTGCCCTCGAGGGAACAGCTCTGACAGAACTATGGCTTGCCCAAGGTCATCCAGTAGGTGCAAGTGGAGGAGTGGGGAATCAAACCCGGTTCTCCCAGATTAGAGTCCGCGCACTTAACCACTGCACCAAACGAGGCCATTTGCTGTGTGTTATTCATTCAGCTCCTGGCCCAGGTTTCCCGCACAATGTTCCATCAATAGGCTCTTCTGTCATTTACTGCATCAATACCCTGTGTATTAATGACCTCCAAAGTGTCCTATCGTTAACAGCCCTTCTCCGGTTTTGCAAACTGAAGGCCGTGGCTTCCTTTATGGAGTCCGTCCATCTCATGCTGAGTCTTCCTCTTGGCCCGCTGCCTTCCACCTTTCCTAGCACTATTGTTTTTTCCCCAACAAGTCTTGTCTTCTCAGAATTTGACCAAAGTATGATAGCCTCAGTTTAGTAATTTCATACAGACACTGTAACGCATCACACGCATAGGGTGGTACGGCTGGGGTGGGAGTTGAGATACCAATAAAAAAAGGGCTGTTGCAATATCAGTCAAGCACACAGAGCAAGAATGAGCCATGCAGAGATGAGCCCCACCCCCATTCAGAAGTCATCCTGGGGAGTCCAGGGGAACCACAATAAGAGAGAGAGAGAGAGAGAGAGAGAGAGAGTAGAGAAGAAACTGGATTTATACCCCGCCCTTCACTATCCGAAGGCATCTCTGAGCGACTTACAATCTGCTTTCCTTTCCTCTCCCCACAACAGGTACCCTTTGAGGTAGGTGGGGCCGAGAGAGCTCTTTCAAGGACTGCCCTTGAGAGATCAGCTCTGAGAGAACCTGTGACTGACCCAAGGTCACCCAGCTGGCTGCATGTGGAGGAGTGGGGAATCAAACCCAGTTCTCCCAGATTAGAGTCCGCACTTCTAACTACTACACCAGACTGGCTCTCCAGTGAGGTTCCTCAGCTGCAGTTCAGACCCTAACCCTCGGCACTGTGGGGAAAGCATGCATTGGGAACGCTCGAGGCCTCTGGCCAGGCCCAGGCCCCTCCACAGTGGCCACACCCACCTTTTCGGAGTACATGGATGGAGAGCTGAGGGGGTTGATGATGACCATGTTGGGCCCGGCGTAGGTGTGGATGAGATTCCCACCGTAGCGCTGGCGCAGCGTGTGCAGGACACTGGACTCGTTGAGGTAGACGAGGCTGGCCAGGTCCTCCGCGCGGTCGCACGAGGGAGGGTTGGCCTAGACCAAGAGCAGAGTGCCGTTAGCGTCCGCAGAACCAGGAGGCCCAGCTGCCGAGGGCCACCTCCGCTCCTGGCGGGACGCAGCGGCTCGTCCGGCCCCTACCTTCTCCACATCATCTTCGTCCACTTCGAGCAGGGCCCCGTCGTAGTCCAACTTCACCTTGACTTTCCCATCGGGGAGAAGGGCAGCAGCGTCGGTCTTCAGTTGGCTGGCTGCGGGGGGGGGGGAGAGGGGGAGAGGCACAAGAGACAGTGGCAGGGGGGGGCGAACAGACCGCCGGAGCGCAGAGCTGGAGCGATGCTGCCACCTCGTGGCCCAGCCGAGCACAAATCGTTCATCAGTCGTTCCTCCAACCCGCTAGTTTCCCGCAGGAGAAGCCATCGACAACACCCCACGGGAAGGAATTCTAAGTCCTGCCTCTGCTCTGCCCCCCTCCGGATACCTGACAATCTTCACTGCAGAGGGAATTCTAGTGTTGTGATGGACACTAAGGGGAAAGCAAGACAGGAGAACCCAAGAGGCTAAACCATCCGACAGACCCAAGAGATGTGAGGGGAGGAGGAGGAGGAGATTGGATTTATACCCTGCCCTTCACTCAGGGTCTCAGAGCGGCTTACAAACCCCTTTCCCTCCCCCTCCCCACAACAGACACCCTGTGAGGTAGGCGGGGCTGAGAGAGCTCTTTCCAGAACTGCCCTTTCAAGGACAGCTCTTGTCAGAACTATGGCTTGCCCAAGGTCATCCAGCAGCTGCAAGTGGAGGCGTGGGGAATCAAACCCGGTTCTCCCAGATTAGAGACGGCGCACTTCACCTCTGCACCAAACTGGGAAGGATGCTGCCCCCACCCCCCGCTTACCTAAGGAGAAGCCATCTTTGTGGACCAGCCACACTTTATCCGTTTCATACCAGGCCTCTTCGGCAGCAATCTGTTCCTCCGTCTTGGCCTGTTGTGCGGGTCGAGAGGGGGAGACAACGGCAGGACAGGTCAAGGCACCGCACGGCTCCGGCATCACCCCACGGGATTCAGCCTCACCCCCTTCCCCACCCGCCTGTACCGTCTCCCCCCGCAGCTCACTTCCGTCTCCGTGCTCACATCCCCCTGCCAAAGGGGACACCGGAGTCCCCACCCTCTCGCCTCCTGCATGGTTTGGCCACCGAAGTGGTCACCCAAGCGGTTCTCAAGCTATGCGTCCAGACCGAAAAACAGGTCACGAGGCCGAGGTAGGAGAAGAGGTCTGATGGTGAATATGGGGTTGCCGCAGCAGGACGTGACATGCGGCCTCTGATTTAGAAATGTGATGGAAGCGTCAAGTCTAGACAAATACATTACACACTTGTTCAGCATTAATAAAAGTGTGCCATCGAGTCCCAACTGACTCATGGCAACCCGAAGATCATGGGGCTTTCAAGGCAAGACACTAAGCAGAGGCAGGTCGCCACCGCCTTCCCCTGCATAGCAACCCCCAGTCTTCCCGGGTGGTGTCCCATCCGAGTACCAACCGGGGCCGACCCCGTTTAGATTCCAAGATCTGACCAGATCAGGCTAGTCTGAGCTATTCAGGCTGCACGGGCATCATTAACTGGCGAGAAATGCCTATTCTGGATGTTCAGGATGGGGGAAGGAGTCTAGAGTCACTGCGCAAGTGGACCCTGAGAAGTACAGTAAGTTTACAAGTGGATTGTATTTCGAGAAGTTTGAGAACAACTGCGGGATCCTGACCGGGCCAGCCAGGCTTGGACTTGGGTCGGGGGCAGTCTCGCACAACAATTGTGGCCCTTTGAGCAATCCCCTTCCTCTAACAAAACAGGGAGGCAAGCGGGACCGAGGAGACTGGAGTCCCTCTGCACTGCAAGACTCCAAGGGCTCCTTCCGTATGCCTTGCTCTCTTCCCGACACAGGCACGCCAGTCAGCTCGACCCACCACCGTTAGCCCTGGCAACTGAGAGAGAGGGAGAAGCCTCAAATTGAGGCGGGGGGGGGGACACACACAGAACCAGACTGGCACGGAGCTGCCCTGAGCCCAAGGGACAGGGCAGGCTGCAGAACTGAATTCTGGAAGCAGATGCTGCACCAGACCTCGAAGCCTTTAAGGAAGTCTTTCAATCTAACCTCCTCCGGGGACAAAAACAAAACCAAGCAGCAAAATACCCCAAAGCCCTTGGGATGGGACTCCCTCTGTGTCCACAGTCCCACTGGTGAGCACCCCTCAAAAAAGAACATACACCCCTAAGACTGCATTCACGCACCACGCCCAAGTCCCCACCCCCAGCCAGCTGAAAGCCACAGACCCCCACAAGCAATGGAGCTGTCAATGGAGCAGCCAAACCTGCAGCTGAGACAGAGCAGACGCCCTGACCTGGCAGGAGCCAGAAAGCTAAGCAGAGCGGGTTGAGTTAATCCCTGTGGATGCTCCCCTCCAGCCCGGGGGGGGGGGGGGGGGGGGAGAGGGACCAAAAGCACAGAATGACCAGCACCCTCCAACCCCTGGCAGAAAAGTTAACCTCTGAGCAAGGCAGGCCTACTAATTCACCGGTCACTGATGCTCAGCTGGAACCGTCATGTTCAGAGGCAAGTGAACCCCAAGTAGCAAACTCTGGAGGCAAACAAGGCAGGGCATCTGTCCCCTTGCAAGAGAGCTTCCGAGAGGCATCCAAATGGCCACAGTTAGCAACAGGAGACTGGGCTAGGTGGGCTTCGGGTCTGACCGAGGAAAGTTTTCCCCAGGAGAATCCTGCTGTGCTCACAATTAAGGAGGCAGAGGAGTGGCGGATGTGGGCCCTGGGGAGCAGGTAAGAGACGGTGCCTCCCCCTCGCATCTAGCCCCAAAGCTGCAGGTATCCAGCTCCCGGGCCCCTCCCTCCCAACCCCCTCCCACCGTGTTTTGTTTCATGCTCATCCTAGTCAGACTCAGTGCTGGGAACTGGGTTCCGTGCAAACAACAGATGATTCCCAGGATCCGTGCTGGGCAGTCCCCAAAGGCTTCTCTGGAAGTCTCAGGTAGACTGTTCAGAAATTAAAAGTCCTTAGCAAACACGCGGGAGGGAAAAGCGGTGTTGAAAAGGGCCCTTTGTGGAGCCTCAGCGCCTCCCCCTGCTTGCTTCCGAATGGGGTCAGAGCATCGTATACTTCAGGTATCTCCAACAGGTAGATTGCGATCTACCAGTAGATCGCGGAGGGGTCAGAGGTAGATCACCAGCCCCACTTTGTTCCTGGTATAAAATAAAATAAAAAATGTTTGCAGTTCTTTCTGGTTCTTCGTCTCTCTGTTTTGTTTTTGCTTATTTTGCTTACCAGTAAATGACAGAAGGTGCATTATAAATGGGGGGGGGGGACGCGCGGTGGAACCCAACTTTAGTGGGTTAAAATCTAATTTGAAACTTTATTTTCATGGTGGTAGATCACCGGCACTTCTGGCCGGAAAAAACAGATCACTACCAATGTTCCCTCTAAGCTGTGGAGTCTTGTGAGCAAAAATTCTACTTTGTGAGCTACTGGCATTGAAGTTGAGAGCCAGCGATTTGGCTGCTGCATCAATTAGTTTGGCTCTGGAGCTGTTCTTTCTGAGTGAAGACAAAAATGTGTGAGCTGCAGGCTAAAAAACTGTGAGCTAGCTCACACTAACTCAGCTTAGAGGGAACACTGATCACTACCTGTTCGAAGTTGGACATGCCTGGTATACTTCATGAGACCAGCTTTAAATCAACAGCACGCTCCCTCCCCTCCGCTTTCTTTAAGCCAAACCTCAACGCCAAATTCAGACTGGGCTGGTCAGACATTTGCAAACATTGGTCTGTCTCCTCACCCCCAGACAAACCGCTGCCTGGGGGCCTGTTTCATGCCCAGACAGCAGGGGGCAGCGCAGGGGTACTCTAGGCACCTGCAAGGAGAGAACAGCGCTCTGGAAAGTGCTTGTTAGCGGCGCTTCCTTGCATCACCTGGCTGGTTCCGGCCTCTGGCTAAGGGACTTGAAAAAAGAAAGGGTTCGCCCATCCCAGGAAAGGGACTCATCCCAAAGGAAGGGTGAATCACGTCACCAGCTCTCTTTAGCCTGGCAGGGAACGCAGCATGCCCAACACGGAGACGTGCACACACAGTGGCCTGGGAAAGATCTGAGAGGGGGGGCTGAGAGCCTCTGCCCTCACTGGGTAGGAAGCGGTAATGCAGGATAGCAGCTGAGAGACTGTCTGTGGGAGCAGACCCAAGTCTGGCCAGACCGACATTTCAGGAAGGCCCCAGACTCAGAGAGGCCTCCCGGGCCTGCACCCAAGTGCCGAGAGAGGAATAAGCTTAAATCCAGCCACACACATGGAAAAGTCATCCAGAGCCCGGGGGGGGGGGGGGGTGGGAGTGTGCACTCAAATACTTCTTCCTATTACGCTCCATATGTGACGAACCGGGAGAGCTCTGAGCATACGGCACAGGCTTGGAAGGACTGGCGGCCCCAACATTCCTTTGCCCGACACACATTCCCTCCCCCCGGAAGACACAGTGCCCAGGATCCCCGCCCCGCGTGTTACCCTCATTCTCTTCAGAGCCTGGGAGCAAACCCCTACAAGGACACGAGGAGACCACATCTCTGCACAGTTGCCCCCTGCTAAGCTAGGCCTCTCCCTTTTCTCCCCACGCCCCTTTCATGCCACCCCTTCTGTTGAAGCGTGGGCCATAAGCTCCCTGGGACAGAGACCTGCTTTTTAAAGAAGCACCGTGGTGCCGTATGAAAAGGAAGAAAACCAATACATTTTTAGCAGCTCACAGGAAGGCTGCCAGGCGCACTCCGGGCCTAAGTGGCCCGCTTCAAGTGGGATTGGGCAATCAATCCTCCCACAGGGCAAACTGATTAGTGCTCCTGGAGAATGCAGCGAGACCCACCCACCCACTCTCCCACAGAGCTCTCAGCTCTTCTTCCACTCAAATGCTATGGTCCTCACGAGGGGTCATTTCGTGGAAAAAGAGGTGCAGGAGCTCATTAGCATAACTCATTAGCATAACTTGTTTGCATATGCCACACACCCTGACATCACTGGAAGTGTGTCTGAAGGCAACACCCACCGCTCAGGCTCCACTGGACTGTTTTGGATTGCTAGCTATTGGGGGGGGGGGGGACCACCAGTCCTCACAGAGCAGGGAGAGCTTGTACCTGAATAAAACTTGGTCTTAAAGGTGCCACTGCGCTGTTGGCTTGTTTGGGGGCGTGGGGGTGGGGGGAGCTCTGACTGAGGGCTGCTGGAAGCAGGGGGTGGGGCTTGTTGCATGTGCCCGCCCCCTGGGCTCTTTACTGCCAGAGCTCCGCTCCTGTGCGCTCCTGCAGGAAATGACCCCTGGTCCTTATCAATGCTCCCCCTAAGCTCTGGAGTCTTGTGAGCAAAAGTTCTACTTTGTGAGCTACTGGCATTAAAGTTGTGAGCGAGCGATTTGGCTTCAACATAACTTAGTTTGCTCTGGAGCCATCCTTCCTAAGCTAAGACAAAAAATGTGTGAGCTGGAGGCTAAAAAACTGCGAGCCAGCTCACACTAACTCAGCTTAGAGGGAACACTGGTCCTCCCTTTGTTTCTTGGGGCCTGCACTGATCTGTGGAACTCTGAGCACTGGCAATGAGGGGGGGCATGCTAAATGACAGACTCCCAAACCAAGCTGCCCTCTTCCTGTAATATCAACAGTAGCTTAGGAGCTAGACAGACAGCTTCCCAGTCCCCGCCCCCCCCCAAACACACACAATGGGATGACCAAGGTATGATGGGAAGGAAAGGCCAGAGGCGGGCCGGGCAGAAGAGGTGAAGAAAGCCTTACGCTCCAGCAGGAGGCACGAGCACAGACATCGGCCCAGAGGCAGAAGGGAGGTGGAGGGCGATCCGGCGCGCTGGGGTACAGTACCTGGCTTAGTGCAGCCGCGTGGTTCGTGGGCTCCAGCTGGCGCAGCAGGGGGGAAGAGGAGAAAAAAGAAA